CCTAGTGGCATTAAAAGAAGAAGGGAAGTAACCCTGGAAAAGGACCTGCCACCTCAAGCCCTAATGGAAGGGGATTCCCCTTCTAAACATTAATACCATCCACAGTCTCCCCTCCTCCCATCCCATCAATCACCACCAGATCTTCAATAAAGGTAAGCGTCATGTAACTGTGCATGTCTTCTTCAGATCGTTTGTATTAAAATTAATATTTCATGTGGAAATTTTTTTTTTCATACTTTGGGGTGTCAGGAACAGATTAACCCTTTCAGGGTCTGTCCCATAGATCTACGGCTTCATGTTGAGTGTCCAAACCGTAGATCTATGCCAAAATTCTAGTGCCGTCAAATTTAGCGCGAAAATGCTCATAGGCCTACATGTGAGAGAACGGGTCTGCGTGTTGGGTGTGCGCCATAAACAAAAAATCTAGGCGCTCGCATAGCATTGTGGGAACGCCGGCTCAGTTACCTTTGTTCACCATGCCTCGTCGCAAGGCAGCTCTCACTCCCAGGAAAATTGGGACTCTCCTCTTCCTATCTGATAGTTCTGACTCTGATGGAAGTGGAAATGAAGACGAATTCTTTGGCTTTGATCAGTTAGTGACCGAAAGGAATGACCAGGATATCGATAATAGTGCAGAAAACCCTGACGATCCTCAACCTTCTACCTCTGGTGTGGGCACTCATCAGTCACTGTCAGTTATACCTCAACACAAGAGAAAACTATTTTCGCGTGGCCAGGCCTCTGACTTCAGTAATGATAAGTGACGTGGAGTGTGATTTTATTGCTCTTGATGATCATTTGAGTAGTGATAATGAGGAATCATATTCACCAGTGAAGCATCGGTATGTACGCCGCCGCATGCGCTCGGGTAGTGTACCCTATGCCGTGCCCAGGGGACATAGTACATCCCGGAGTACATCCCATGGCCCTACACCAGGTATAGATAGTGATAGTGAGGATGATGTGGCTACACTTGGCATGGATAGACCACAGGCATCAATAGATGGTGGTAGTGGTGATGGTAGTGCCACGGCCATGCGTGACTCACCAGCCCAGGCTGGGACCCACGCTGCTGACTCCGCAGTTCAAAGACAAAGCAGAGCGTCAGCCACCAGCCCACCACAACCACAACCACCCGCACAACCAGCCTATGATGTCCAGTATCTACAAGCAAACCGTATCTGGGATTGGCAGCAAAATCCCAATTTTGTTCCCAAGCCCCACCACTTTGATGACTCTGAAAGTGGAATTCTACCAACTTGTCCCCTTGGAAACACTGCAAATGAACTGGAATTCTTTGAACTATTCTTTGACCAGCCATTGATGGAAACTATTGTCAGGGAACTTAAGTATTTTGAGTACACCATGGCAAATACGATCATATCACCACAGTCAAGACTACACCGGTGGAAAGAGACGACTGTTGCAGAAATGTATTTGCTTTTGCAACAATAATGCTTATGCCTCATGTCTATAAGCATAATATAAAAGCATAGTGGTCCACAGATCGGCTAATTTCTACCCCGGTCTTAAGTGAAATCATCCCAGTGAACAGGTTTATCTTACTGTTACGTATGTTGCACTTCTCTGACAAAACCAGACCTGACAGAAGTGACAGGTTATACAAGATTAGAAATGTTTTTATGTATCTCAAACAAAAGTTCAGCATGTACTTTTATCCATTCAAGAATCTTGTAATTGACGAGTCTTTGATTTTGTTCAAAGGTAGGCTGTCATTCAAGCAGTATATACCGAGCAAGAGGAAATGCTTTGGTATAAAACTGTTTGTACTCTGTGACTGTGACAGTGGTCTGGTATTTGATATTGCTGTATACACAAGAAGTAAAACATTGAAAGATACCAGATGTTATTGGGTATCTCAGGTGACGTAGTGAGAAGCATGATGGCACCTTATCTTGGTAAGGGGCATACATTATATACCAATAACTGGTACACAAGCCCTTTACTCAATGATTTCTTGCGAGTGAACAAGACAGATGTGTGTGGCACAGTGTGTTCTAATCATAAACATATGCCCAGGATCAACGCAGGTGCTCATGGTGATGACGTGCAGGTGTTTACTGCCAATGACATCATGGCATTACGGTGGCATGACAAACGAGATGTCACATTGTTGACAACCATTCACCATAATGAAATGCAAGACAGTGGCAAAGTTGATCGAGTGACTAATGAATGTATTCGAAAAACAGTGACAGTGATTGATTATACATAAAACATGCGCTTGGTTGACAAATGTGACATTCAGATTGGCTTTGTTGATTGTGTTCGTAAAAGTTAAAAGTGGTACATGAAACTTTTCTTCTATCTCATGGACATTTCAATGCTCACTGCATATAATATGTACCAAATGAAGACTGGCAACAGACCACCATATGGTGAATTTTGTTTGTCTGTTGTCAGACAACTCATAATGAAGTACCAGGTAACAACAACTGCTATACAACAAGGTCCTCGAACTCCTCAGGATATACCCAAGCGTTTGAGGAGGGAAAGTGATCATTTCATAATACAGCTTCCTTCAATTCAGAAGAAATTTGCTCAGAAGAGATGCATCGTCTGTGCACAAACAAAACGGCAGCAACAAAGACGCAAAGACAATCGGTTTATGTGTGAGGAATTATTATTATACAAGATTTGTGCATGTTTATTGTAATAAACAACAGTGGTAAACAATAATATGATAATAACTTTAGTGCGGTTATTGTGTTCAATACAGAGAGTTTATATATATACATTATTGGTCTCTCAGGCCCCAAATTTTAGTAGGAAAAGAAAAAAAATTAGAAAAGAAAATAAAAAACTACAAAAAACGGTAAACAAAGTAATGTGCATATGTGGAAATCGTCGCTGTTGCCACCACCGCGTCATTTGGGGTAAACTTCTCGGCACTGTATCTCGGTAAGTACTGATCAGAATTTTGTTTTGTCTTATTACCTTCACAAAAACATACTCTTTAATTCTGCAAACTTTTTTTTTTTTTTTTTTTTTTTTCAAAATTTCTTGGACACTGGAGCACCACTTCAGATTTTGGCCTTGGACCCTGATGGGGTATTTTGATTTCCATTATTTCTTATGGGCAAAATTAATTCGGCTAACGATAATTTCGCCTAACGTTGAGCTCTCAGGAATGGATTAATATCATTAGGCGAGGGTCCACTGTATATATAAAATATGAAATAACTTTTAAAAACATTTGAAATTTTGGAGTTTCCAGACATAATGGAGAGACTTAGTGCTTACGGATCTCACGGAGAATGTAAACAAACCGGGTTGGGCGTGGTGACTGTATTATAAAGTCGTATAGCGAGTTTTGGTCATAATTTGAAATGACCGTATTAGCGGAATGCCGTAAAGCGAAATGCCATAAAGCGGGGCCCTACTGTACATAATCACATTTTTGATCTTATATAACCTGTCGGTTCTGTCAGGCCTTGTTTTGTCTGAAAAGTGTAATATACGTAACGGTATCAAATAACGATTTACTGTACTCCTATAATGTCACTAAAACGTGGGGTTGAAATCAGGTGTTCTGTTGAGCAGTATGTGGTGAGTGTGCTTATACACATGTGGCATAAGCATTATTGTGGCAAAGAACAGGTAAATCTCTGCCACAGTTGTGTCGTTCCACTGGTGTAGCCGTGATCTTGGTGAAAGAACCGTATTTGCCATGGTATACTCATAGTATGCGTTGGTTTCCCTGACAATAATGTCCATCAGGGGTTCATCAAAGAATAACTGAAAGCATTCTAGTTCAGTGGCATTGTTCCCAAGTGTATACGATGGCCCTATTTCACTTTGTGTTTCATCAAAGTCATGGGGATTGGGAATAAAATCGTCACCTTGCTGCCAATCCCAGATGCGGTCTGCTGGTGGGTTCTGGATATTGAAAAGTGGTTGTGGTTGTGCAGGTTATGGGAGTGTGGGGTTGGGTGAGGCTGATTGTAGTTGTGCAGAGTCAGCAGCGTCAGTAGTAGCGTGGCCCACTGCTGGTGCCACATGACTCATGCCACCGCCAACATCACCACCACCATCACCTTCTTCCCCATGCACATTACACATCCCCATTGTAACAATATCGCCATCTTCACTGTCAGGTCGTGGTGTAGGGCCACGGGATGTACTCCCACATTTACTCCTTTGCCTTGGAAGGGCATAGGCACACTACCAGAACGTATGCTGCGTCGAACATACTGCCATTTCACAGGCAAATATTCCCCCTCACTGTCACTACTCGAGCTGCTGTCAATAACTTTGAAATCACTATCATTATCACTTTCACTGCTCAGATCCAAGTCCTGTAAACAGGGAAATAGTTTCCTTTTTCGTCCTGGTACAGGTGAATGTGAATGAGATGTGCCAGCACCAGAGGTGGACGGTTGTGGGTCATCGAGGTTTTCATCACTAATTACGTAATCCTGGGCACTGCTTTCGGTCACACCCTCTCCAAAACCATGAAATTCACTTTCACTGGCACTTCCATCACTATTACAACTATCACTTGGGAACAGTAGACCTCCAATACGCCAAGGAGTGAGGTACTTCTTACCGCGAGGCATGGTGAAAATGGACTACCAAGATGGCATTCCCACAATGCACCACCGAGTCCCAGATTTTTTTCACAGGGTGCACACCCACCACTGAGACCCATTCTCTCTCATGTAGGCCTACCAGCTTTCTCCCGCTTGATTTGAAGCCGCTAGAATTTACACGTATTAATACGTCCAAAACAGTGGCGCGTAAGACGTATATATATGACCAAAACAGTCAAAGGGTTAATAATTAGTTTGTCATTAATGCACAATCCTTTAGCCATTGAGCCAGCTGGTGGCTTTGTTTTCTAAGCATTATCAGTGCAACCACAAAGAAACTTCAACATCCTGAGACTTTATTCACACATTATTTATATGAAGAAAATAGGATTTAAATAATACATATGAAAAAATTGTATAATTGAAGTTAATATTCTTACTACTTACACATCATACTGTTTTTCTTCATGCAGTGTTTTGACAGACTGTACAAGGTGAGTCAAACCAGACACCCAAGTATCCCTCTCTTCTTCCGTAGCTGCAACCAAGTCTAACACTTCTCTCCCGCCTGGACCATGGATTACTGAAAAACACTTGTTTTCTTCTAACCAGGGTTCGTCACCACTTGCTGTTAAGTAAAACAAAATGCTAAGACATTACTTTTAAGTGAATGAATAAAAAAATAAAAATCTTTTATAATGTTCCAAGAAAAGGTCTCTAATGCACTCCTCAGTTTTACTTTTGCATATGCATACACATCCTTCTCCACCCCTCCTCCACACACTACATATTTCCAATTTGTGAATCTATGGGACCCCTACCTAATACACATGTATGAACTGAAGCCGAACTTTCTTAGCCTCAGCCATCAACCACATCAGTATTTTCTCCAGTGTCAACATGAAAGATCTAGACCTGAACCTGTTGAAACCATGCCTCTTAACTGCCTCCAAATCTCTACCACCATAATTTATACTATGATATTGCCTAATGCATAAGAAATTAAAACAAAAACCAAAAAGTTACCTCCCGATTTATCTTTTGTCTTCTCAGTATGGCTACTAACTTTGTTGAATGTATCAGTCTTCCAGCCCTCGCGTACTTCTGTTATTTCAATCAAAGGAACTGTAAAAGAAAACCAAGAGATATTAAAACTTATGGAGATCCTTTATTTCTTAACTACTTTAACACTATACTGATGTATAACAAATTAGTAATTAATTTTACAACACTAATAAACACACGCCATTTTACTAGAAATCATATTGCATGTATTTTTATCAGTAACAGGCACCATGCCTAACTATTGGACAGGCTAATAAAATTGACAGTACAGTGGACCCCCAGTTTGCGGCCAGTGCTGAAATCTTACAATTCGAATTTAGAGTACTTTTTTCGGTGAAATTTCCCCCTGGGTTTCGTACATCCCCTTGGAAATCGTTGGTACCAAACGTGTGTGCCTGGACCACTCATACATTCACGACTCACTGCTGGGCACATTAAATGTCTTATTTTAGGTTAATATTGACATTTTCATTAATCCATTTATGATATTTTCTTCAAAATTATGCAAGAAACACATTACATAGCATATAAACATGCAATGTTTATATGCAGTGGGGGGCAAACATTATGTTTTCTCTGGTCCAGCGTTAGAGAAAACTATTAATCTGCGTTCGCCCATAAGCTTTTGTTTACAACTCTCGGCATGAATTATTCATTACTTCTCCCTTTGTTAATGATGACATCTAAAAGTAGGTGTTACAAACTATTAAACTCAGTGAACATGGTATGTCGATGATAATAATCTAGTTGTAGGCCACAGTGTATGTAGCCAGTAGGTATACACTGGGATGTAGTCCGTCTGGGACTACAAATAAATACTACTCACCAACAAGAGTCTTCAATAAAGGTATGTAAAGTTTATTTATCATTAAAATTAGTCCTTTATATTTATTTCTCATTGTTTTCTGTATGTAAAACTAGTTATTCTCTATAAAATGTATTTTTTGTTAATATTTTTGGGTGTCTGAAATGGATTAATTGGATTTACATTATTTCTTATGGGAAATACTGCTTCAGTTTTTGGCCATTTCGGATTTCAGCCAACCTTCTGGAATGGATTAATTACAAAAACCGGGGGTCTACTGTACCTGTTTCGATGAAGAAAAAATTGAAGAAATCAAGTTTCAAGCTGTTACAACTTAGATGCTGACAGGTTCTTAACCTGTCAATCACTAGCTTTAATATGTGGTGCCACCAAATTTACCATATGTAGTCGAATGATTACTATCATGTTAGGCAAAAGAACCTGGCTGGTAGCGTAGTAACCTGCCCCAGTTCTTATCTTTAGAAAAAACCTTGGGATTGTTACAAGCATTTATTAAGTTCTCCAGATCACTGATGATGTTAGGGACAAGATCTAGACTTTACCCACATTTTGTCACCAGAAGATGCTTTCTATGAAAAATGGAATTGGGTTGCAGATCATGTCCTCTGCTCTGATTGATAGGATAACAGATGTAAGGTCATTAATAGCAAGCAGAAAGAGGGTAGTGCTTAGAACACAGCCTTGAGGGATGCCTTCAGCCTGGGTGAAACCTCAGAAAAGCTATTATTAACCCAGACACAGAAGTGCCTCTCTGACAAGAAATCCCCAAGGAAAAATAACAGATTGCCTCAGAGACCCAAGGAATGGGCTTGGGTCAAGATGATGTAATGCCAGGTGGTATCACAAGCCTTTTCAATATCAAAAAAGACTGCAGTTCCAAGTGATTATTAGTGAAGGAATTGTAAGCATAAGTATGTAAGCAGATTAATGCACCAATGGAAGAACAGCCCTGTAAAAATCAAATTGAGAAGGGAAGAATATTACAGGTCCAAGTACCATACTAAGAATAACCTTCTGTGCTCTTAGTCAAAGTTTATTTCCACATAATACAATGTTTATACAGAAATGGCTGACACTAGACTGCATGCAGAAAGCCCATAGTTATGCAGAGCATTTCGGACAAGCTTAAGGCTAAATTTACAAGGGCAATAAACATTACATATATGTATTTAAGGTTATTAAAAGTATATGTAAACCTTTTAAATATTTATGTAAACAGATTAAATATATATGTAAACAGATTAAATATATCATTTTACATGATAAAAATTATTTGGGTTACAGTCTATTAAGTGTATAAGTACATTGTTTTACATTTATTTATTTATTTACATTAAATGACAATAAATTGAAATACAGCAACAAGTACAATGGCATCTAATTCAAGCAGCAAATATTTTCAGTAACAGTAGACTGAATATATCAATGCACATAAGAAATATTATTATGGTTGTATTCCAGTAGTTTATAGGTATAATTTTTTACATCAGGTGACATTCAATCCAAGAACTTGAATTCTTAAAGCTGTGACTATTTACAGTAACAGTAACATAGCATTTGGATTCATTTGATAGGAATAAGATCCTCATGCAGTAAGAACATAAGAAAGAAGGAACACTGCAGCAGGCCTACTGGCCCATGTGAGGAAGGTCCAAGTCTCCTACCAACTTAAGCCAATGACCCTACCTAGTCAGGTCAGGTCACATCAGCTTAACCCTTTGAGGGTCTGTCCTTTAGTTCTAAGGCTTTGAAGCCAGGGTCCAAGCTGTAGTTCTACACCATGAGCTCAGCTCACTCAGATAAGCTGTGAGTGGTTAATTTGGGCCTAGATATGAGAAAATGGATCTATCTGGTAAGTGTGCACCATATAAAACAAATCCTGCAGCACGCAGTGAACGGAAAAAAAAAAACGCGACCAAGTTTTGGATTCAAACAGTGATTTTGAGGTGTATTATCGTATGGTTTTTATGGTTGTATTCAGAGTTTCTTGGTTTTGTTTGATAGAATGGAAGATACATTACAGAAATAGAGATGATTTTAATCAATTTTAGTACTGGAAATAGCTTGAAATTGAGCTCAAAATAGCAAAAATGTTCGATTTTGCTGATGTTCAAGAGCAAACAAATGAAGTCATGCATCCAATACATGTCAACTGGTGGGTCTAATATATTTTCACGAATGCACTGATATTAGTTATACAATTACAGTAGGCCCCACTTAAATGGCAGGTTAGGTTCCAGGCTCCCACCATAAAATGTAAATCGCTGTAGAGTGGAACGCCCTTTTTTTTCCACTTATAAATGAATATAAATGCTAATTAACAAGTTTACACTAAAATATATTAAGTTAGCAATAGAACTTGGCATTAAAAAAAAAATTAAAATACACTTACAGTACACTCATTACTTACCTTAAAATATTTGAAGTTTTAATGTAGGGTGAGATTAATATTTATAATAAGAAATCAGGTGTGGCAGGTTTGGTAGCCTGCCAGGCCAGGCCAGGCCAGGCCAGGCCAGGCCAGGCCAGGCCACCCCACTCCACCCACTTAATATACTATGACACAAAGCATCTCAGAGTGATACATGTACAGTTCACTCATTACCTTAAAATATTTAGTCTTAATACAGTGGACCCCCGCATAACGATTTTAATCCGTGCAAGAGGGCTCATTGTTATGCGAAATAATCGGAATGCGAATGAATTTTCCCCATAAGAAATAATGGAAATCAAATTAATCCGTGCAAGACACCCAAAAGTATGAAAAAAAAAATTTTACCACATGAAATATACATTTTCCTACACACAAAGAGAAGGATACATGCACAATAGTAGAGTAGTACATGCACAGTATATATTGTGCATGTACTAGTCTACTAAATGAAGAATAAATGACACTTACCTTTATTGAAGATGCAGCAATGACTGATGAGACACTGTGTCCTGGGAGTGCCTTTTCCTCCTGAGTACTGTAGGTCCTGTTTGGTATTTTCTTCCAGAACATGCCTTATCACACTGTGTATGTCACTACGATTCTTAAATATCTCAAACCAACCTTTGCTGGCTTTAAATTCACCAATATGAGCACTAGTTCCAGGCATTTTTCCCTGTTCACCTGGGTGTTAGTCGACTTGTGTGGGTTGCATCCTGGGAGACAAGATTATGGACCCCAATGGAAATAAGTTAGACAGTCTTCGATGACACTGACTTTTTTGGGTTATCCTGGGTGGAAAATCCTTTGGGGTTAATTGTTTCTTGGTATTCTCAATAAACCACACCAACAACGGTGCTACAGCAGCAGCAGCAGCTGACGGTGGTACAGCAGCAACAGACGATGCTACAGCAGCAACAGACGATGCTACAGCAGCAACAGACGATGCTACAGCAGCAACAGACGATGCTACAGCAGCAGCAGATGATGCTACAGCAGCAGCAGACGATGCTACAGCAGCAGCAGACAATGCTACAGCAGCAGCAGCAGCTGACAGTGCAGCAGCAGCAGCAGCTGTACCACCAATAGTAGCGATGGTTGATTGGGGTTTATTATACAACCTGGCCAGCTCGGAGACACACACTCCACTTTCATACTTATCAATGATCTTTTTCTTCATCTCTATTGTAATTCTCACCCTTATAGCTGTAGGGTTGGCACCAGAAGCTTTCTTGGGGCCCATGGTCACTTATTTTCCAGAAAAAGCACCGAAAACACTGTAATAATACGAAATATTCTGATTGTATGCTTGGATGTTACCGCGGAGGCTGGCTGGTAAACAATGCCACTGGCGGCACATGTGAGGTTGGCTGAGGGGGCACATTGGACGCGTCTCGGACGAAAATCGGTGAGCGGGTTTTTAAGCAGTATGCGAGGCAAAATTTTTGCAATTAAAGCAAGCTGTATGCGGATTAATCGTTATGTGATGCCAATGGTATGCGGGGGTCCACTGTATTAGTAAGGTGAGAGGCGAGTAAACGAGATAAAACGAATAAACGAGAGAGAGAATGAGTAAATGAGAGGACAGAAATGCAGAGGATGTGAATAAACACACATTTGTATTATATCATAATGTACAAACACTTTTCATTGTGTACATTGTAAAGTGTTAATTATTATAATAATAGATAAAAATAATAAGGGAATATTTTCAGGAATTGTTAAATGTTGATGAAGATAGGGAAGCTGTGATTTCGTGTATAGGGCAAGGAGGAATAACATCTTGTAGGAGTGAGGAAGAGCCAGTTATGAGTGTGGGGAAAGTTCGTGAG